AGCCCTGTTTGTATTTCCTGTTTTGCACTCTGCTTATCTTTATCCACTGCTCTTCACAGGGAACTTGTACAAGCTGGAAAAGATATAGACAGTGTGTATTGGGAACTTGTGGTAAAGGACATCCAAGATGCATGCAAACTCTTTGAGACAATCTACGATAAAACAGATGGTGGTGATGGGTACGTTTCTGTTGAAGTCTCACCTAGACTTGCTGATGATACAGAGGGGACTGTAGAGGCTGCAAAGTGGCTTCATAAGAAGGTTGAACGTTCCAATGTGTATATTAAAATTCCTGCTACTGCTCCATGCATTCCTTCCATCAAGGAAGTCATTTCACTTGGAATAAGTGTCAATGTGACGGTAAGTTGATTCATTGTCACCTTTGTTGACAACTTGACAGTTCATGCATGAGATTGAAGGTTGCTTGTCTACTGGTGCTTAAGAGAGATATTTGCATAGGAATTAATTAGTGAATGAAGAATTATATCTTTGATGTTTAAAGAACCATCATTCAGTTTTTCTTTTTAAATGTTTCATGTTTTCATTTGCCTTTTTGTACTTTATCTGTTTCTTGAATACTGAAGTAGATCCTATGTGTACGCACAGCTTATCTTTTCTCTTTCAAGATATGAAGCAGTCATTGATGCTTACCTTGATGGCCTTGAGGCCTCTGGGCTAAGTGATCTCTCCAGGGTCACAAGTGTTGCTTCATTCTTCGTTAGTCGAGTAGACACACTTGTCGACAAGTTGCTTGAGAAAATTGGAACTCCAGAGGCTCTTGATCTTCGTGGGAAGGTACCTACTGCATGTTCAAATTTCTCTACTCCTTTTAGGATGCAAGAGAAGTACAAGTTTTGGATAACCTCACGTTGTTGTACTTCTATTGCAGGCTGCAAATGCACAGGCAGCTCTAGCTTACGATCTTTACCAGAAGAAATTTTCTGGTCCTAGATGGGAGGCTTTGGTAAAGAAAGGTGCCAAGAAGCAGAGGCTATTGTGGGCCTCAACTAGTGTTAAGAACCCAGCGTATCCCGACACTTTATATGTGGATCCTCTGATTGGACCTGATACTGTGAGTCATCCTCTCACCTTCTTTTTTTGTGGTGATTGTGGCCCTTTAGAAGACATACAATCACTTTTCTTGAATTTGCCTCTAATTAAATATTACTTGGGGGCATTTGCACGAACAACCTTTTTTGAAGCCACTATTTAGCAAGCGTTTGGTCATAGATTTTTGTATCAGATTCTGATAATTTATCTTCAAATATCTGTTTTACCATAAAATTTGATTAGATTTTCAAAATCTGATCTTCAATTTTTTTTCATGTTTCTAAAAACTGGCGCACCAAGTAAAATGCATGTCCAATCACAACTTCTAGAACTCAAAATTTCAAGTTACATCTATGGCCAAACGGGAGCTTACATTCTTGTCTCCCGTTAACCTAGAAGGCTATTTTTATCTGAAAAAAATAAAAAAATCATAATATAGGCCCTAGGCTAACGGGGACAAAGATTAAAGATGCGAATAATCTGTATTACCTGTGTATGCATGATGGTTGACCTCTAATGAAATTTCTGCTAGGTTTCAACAATGCCCGACCAAGCTCTTCAAGCATTTATCGATCACGGTTCTGTTGCAAGGACGATTGACGCAAACTTATCTGAAGCAGAAGGTATCTACAGCGCCCTCGAGAAGTTGGGGATTGACTGGGTCTTTGTCGGGTCTCAGCTTGAATTGGAGGGTGTGGATTCTTTCAAGAAGAGTTTTGATAGCTTGCTTGACAGTTTGCAGGAGAAGGCAAACACACTCAAGTTAGTGAACCTGTAAAACAAGTTGTTCAATTTGCTAGGAGATATAATGACTGAATAAATGACAAGTTCTGTTTATCTGAGTTTTCTGCATTGTAATGTATAATCAGAGGATATTTGGTGGTAATACTTTTCTTGGTGAGAAATTTGATACTGGTTTGGATTTTGTGGTTATCAAATGTCAACTTTATATCCTTTCTATTTGGATCCTGTTCACTCAAATACTATATAGTACATTAATTTTTATTTCAAGGTAAATTAAAGGTTAATTTTGTGGTCCTCATTCTTGTTCTTACGTAGACATACAAATTTCTCTCTATATACAAATTTACTCATATAGATTTCTGATTTTAAGTAGTTATATGAATATTGTTTAGGTCGGGTCATTTGGTTTGCAAAGTAAGTTAATTGGTGGATTATAATTCTTGGTTTAAGTTATCTCATTTGAGAGGTGGGATAAAATAACACCAAGTTTGATGGGATGAGATGAGATATCTTAAATTAAGTTGGGAACTAAATTCATTTTTTGTTTGATTGATAGTATAAATTTATCCTCAAAAGACCACCAAAGAATTTGATGAAATGATTGAAATTGAGTATAAAAAAAATGATAAAAGAAATTTAACATGGAGATCAATGTACCATAGATGTACATGAAAAATAAATATATGAAAATTCAATTAATTCATTTTTAAAAATCTAAGATTTTGACGAAGGTACCCTCCCTTTTAAGTATTTGGGAGTCCCTTTGTCCACAAAGAAATTGACTGTTCATCAGTGTATGCCATTGGTGGAGAAGATCACAGCTAAGGTGAGGTGTTGATCAGCTAGATTACTCTCATACTCTGGCAGGCTTCAGCTAATCAAGTATGTACTAATTGGTATGCAAAACTATTGGGCTCAGATCTTTGTCCTTCTAAAGAGAGTAATTAAAATGATTGAAGCTGCCTGTAGAACTTTTCTATAGACTGGTAAAGGGGAGATGTCCAGGAAAGCATTGGTAGTCTGGAAGAAGGTGTGTCAATCAGGTGTTGCTAGAGGCCTTAATATAATTGAGCATGGTACTTGGAACAAGGCAGCCATACTCAAACAATTGTGGGTTGTTTCTATGAAAAAAGACTCTATTACATCAAAAATAGAGACTTGGAGACTATGAGCACCCCCAAGAATGCAGCTTGGGTGGTAAGGAAGATAATTGATAGTCGAGTGTTGATCAATTCAAATAGTTACCCAGGTGCACTTGTTCAGGAGGTGAGGAAGCTGGAAAAGCAAGGTAAATATTAGATTAAGGCAGCTTATCACCATTTGCAACAACGACTCCCTAGCGTTCCTTGGAAGAGCTTAACCCTGCATAGATACATACATCCAAGACACAAGTTCCATCTCTGGCTAGCAGTTCAATAGAGATTGTCCACTGTGATATGACTTCAAAAGTTTGGCATCCAGGTTCCTATGGACTATGCTTTTTGTTCTCAAGAGGTGGAGACATTCAATTACCTTTTTCTCATGTTCCAATAGCTCTCAGGTGTGGACTAGATTGCTCCACTGGTTGCAACTACCTCGAAGTATTGGATCATGGAACCAAGAGCTGGAGTGGATTTGTCTCAAGGCAAAGCAAAGAAATAGTATGATTGAGATCGTGTGTTATACCTTTGCAATGGTGGTTTATTGTATATGGAGGGATAGAAACATCATGCGATTTCAACATGGAAGGGTGTATATAACACAGACCTACCGAGAGTTAGTAATGCATATTCACATCCAAGGGAGGAACAGTATTGGATGGCATGATTCATTAATTCAGTTTAAATTGTTTCCCCTAAAAAAATGTATAGGTTGTTTCCTTAGCTTGATGTGTAGGAGATTTCCTTGAAGGTTATGTTTCTTTTAGAGGTAATTGGTCTGTATCTACCTGGTTATGTAATGTTTCAATTTTGATTAATAAAATGGGTTGTTAATAAAAAAATAATCTAAGATTTTGACTGCGACAACAATATAAAGTCATTCATGGCAGCCCAACAAGTTCCATTGAGCTGTCGATTTTCCTCCTATGCTAATGAAGATAAAATTGAATTTACAGGTTGTTTTCCTTAAGACGAAAATGTACTATTATAGTCACACGAAGGGTTGCCTAAAGTTAAAATTGAATTTAGAGGTTGTTTTTCTCAAGACAAAAATGTACTATTATAGTCACACCAAGGGTTGCCTAAAGTTTTTTTTTTGTTCGTCTTTCATTGCAACAAATGGAAATGTGAGAGGTAGGATTCGATCTAAAGGTTTAATTCAAAATTACTAGTTGTCACACCCCCTTTTTTTTCCAACCCCACTCTTTAAAAGAAACGAGAGTTTTGAAAAAAGAGCTTTTTCAATTAAAATGACATTTTGAAAAGAGATTATTTATTTTTATAAAGTCGTCGCTTGAAATTGAGTTTTGGTGTCCTAAGTCACCTCATTTAAATTCTTAATCAAAAGGAAATTGACTCTTCATTTTGTTGGCATGCGAATTAGAAATCTAAGTAAGGAATTTTGTTGACCGAGAGAAGATATCAAACACTCCTCGAGTCCCGTGGTTCTAGCACAGTCACTTTATTGATTTATATTTTGGCTTGAATTAAATTTTGGATATCTTATGTTTATGACCTTAAAAAAATGCTCATTACCCGACACCTTTGATTTATTATAAACGGCTTAAAACTGTTTTGTTTTATTAGTGTGTTGTATTGATAGCAACGCTTTTGAACCTTGCCACAAATTATTTATTTGTTTATTATTCAAGATTAAAATTAGTGTAATGTTCTTCAAGTAATAAAAATTACCTATTATTATTGTCAAACTAATCACGTTCCTAATGATTTAATTTATTTTTATTTTTAATCAAATATACAAAGTGGGAAAGTAACTTAATTCATTAGACTAAATTTCATCTAAATAGTATTAATTATTTAGCGTAAATAATGAGATGTGATGTGATTCGGGGAAAGAAGAAAAATGTGAGGAGGTTATTTCGTTCCCGCGAAGCGTATCCCCTCCGTTCTTCTCTCACCTACAACATTCTACTAAAATGGCGACGCCCTCTTTTTCATTCCATCCGATCCCAAATTTTACCAAAAAATCTTCTTCTTCTTCTTCTTCCTCATCCTCGGTAACATTTTCACTATGTGTTTCTCAATTTGAATGACTTATCAATGTTATATACTAATTTCTGCGTTTTTATCAGTTGCGGCACCGCCAAATTGTCCCCAGCTTAGACTTATCCACTTCCTCTGGTTGGTAATATTTTTCAGTTTTCCTGTTTTTCCTTTTATTTTCGACATAATGCTCAAATATACACATGCTGATACCTGATAGTTAAGGTAGGAACAATTGGTTTTGTGTTTTTACCAATTGAGTAGATGGTGATAAGGAAAATTGAACAATTGATTTGAGGTGTGTTTAATCTATAGGCACTGATAGTGAACTGTTGATACTTGGGGTGTGGAACTCCCATGTGTTTTTGACCATTAACTCTTCATTTTATTGTGAAATTTGATGTCGATTCGTTTTCACTGACCTCAGATGGTACTGAAAACTTGGATTGTCGACTTGTATTCGATCGAAGACAAGTGTTGCTCTCGTCTGTGGGAGTTATAGCAACTTCCATTTGTAATGCTGGAAGGGCTTCAGCTGAATTTGCTGACAGTAATATCTATTCTTTCTACATATTTATTTCTATTCTTATAATAGCAGCATCAATTTACTATTTAACCTTTTATGGTTCTTAGCACTCTAAACTAACTCTACTTTTGAAATTATGGGTTTAAGGGTAGTGTTTGTTGTAATTTTAATGCTTTTCATCAAAAATACTGGTTCAGATGAACCGATATTCCCAGCTCTTCATATTACCAATATCACTTAAAGTTCCTAAAGAGCAAGCCTTTTTTTTATCTATTGGGGGGAAGATGTGTCGTCAGTGATGAAAGTGCTAAGTTGAATAAATTTCTATTGCTTCTCTCAATGGGTGTTGGAGACAAGTGCTTCAACAAATTTGAACTTGGTAATATGTGCATCACCAAAAAATGGAAATACAACTTTGAATTACGGAAAATGTTGGAAAACTAATTTGAAGTTGTAGTAGGATACCAAATGTTTTAAGATTTGGTATTTGCAAGTTTATTTAATTCATTTCTAGTTTGAATTTGTAGTCAAATTTATATAGGAATATGTTTTCTTGTTTTGAGTTAAATTAGGATCCATACTTTCATAAATAGTGGTGTTGCTAGCTATTTTCTATTGTGGGAAATCGTGGAGAATTCTAGAGAGCAATCAAAGATTTATTATTTATGAATAAAATATTTTCCTTCAAGTGATCAATCTATTAATCTACTATTTCTCCATACCAAGCTAGTTGAGTAGGTTACATGAATTTTCTGAATCCATTCCCCTCTGTTTGGGCTAATTTCATAATAACACTAATCAATTTGTCTATCTTTTAGTTGTGCAACGTGGTGGCGGAGGCGGATGGTGCCTATCTCAATGGGTTTAATTGAGTCTAATACTTTTAAAACGGAGTATAAATGCATATGTGAAAACCCACTAAATTTCAACAATATTATTTGTTGATCCATAATTTTAAAAGTACATTGAGTTCAGTTTTAAGAATCTTAAAAGTTGAACACATCAAGTTTAAATTTTGGATCCATCTCTGCGTGACATCAACAAGTGTAGATGGAATTTGAAGTTGAATATAAGCTCTTTATAAAGATTTCTCTTTTATTCCCTTTTCAATTGTACATTTGGCTATGGAAGAGGAAGAAACTTGGCGTTGCAGATATTTATCGGGAGCCCATGTTTACAACTACTCCTGATTTAAGATGCTCTAAAGATGTTTAATTTTCCCTTTTTCTTTCTATTCACCTCACAACTTATTCATCTTGTTGGCTGACCATTACTAACTTGATATGGTTTTGTACAGTAGACCGTGAATACTAGTCATTTTGAGGTTTCCATTACATCGATCATAGTGCTTGTTTTGTAGTTAATCAGCAAGTAGCTTGACATTCTATGGTTGTCTTTAACAAAGATCTGGGACATTTTGGCTCTAAATTTGGGGGGGGGGGGGGGGGGGACATTGCTCCAAAACTAAATCTTTATTACTTTCTAGATATACATTGCCTACAGTGAGAGGAAAGGACTATAATTCTTTGATTTCTTTCTGATTACATAGTGCCTGCTTTGAGAGGAAAGGACTATGGGAAGACAAAGATGCGGTATCCTGACTATACTGAAACTCAATCAGGTCTCCAGTATAAGGTCACTTATATGAGCTATACATAAGGAACTCAATCATGTTTTTTCATGCATAGGCTGGCCTGGATTTTGATTGAGTCTAACAAACATGCAGGATTTGAGAGTTGGAAGTGGTCCCACTCCGAAGATCGGAGATACAGTGGTGGTAAGCCTGTGGATGGCCTACTCAAATTTATCTCTTACACTTCATTTGTTTGTTTCAATGTCCGGTTTTAAGCTAGAATAACTGCAGAGACCAATTAGGCTTATTAATAAATAGACTTGGCGGAGTCTTTAAAGTTGGGCCAAAGAAGTTTCTTTATGGTCTCTAAACATTTGGCCATTTCAAATGGAAATTTTGGAAAATTCACATTTTACTGTTTTTCATTGGACTTAGCAACTTACCTTCAAGGAAGCAGTTGAGATAGCTGCTGTTCCAAGCTTGCATTAATCTGAGTATGTATCTTTAACAACTGAATTTAGGTTGACTGGGATGGTTACACAATAGGTTATTATGGTCGCATATTTGAAGCTCGTAACAAGACGAAAGGTGGTTCTTTTGAGGTACTAATCCAGCTTAAATATATAGTCAAATTAGCGATTCTTGCACAGTTTTAGGTGACAATGGTTCATTATGCTGCAGGGGGGTGATAAGGACTTCTTCAAATTCAGAGTAGGATCTCAAGAGGTGAGCTTTTTCGATAAGCATCTGATTCTCTCCAGACAATGGTGATTTAATTATAGTTTTATATGCCTAAATTCCTGGTTTTAAAACCATGTTTTGAAATTGCATTATGTTTCAGTAAATGTTTTTTAGTTAGTCATGCATTTGGTGACGTCATAAATTATACTGATTCCACGAAACTTGACTGTTACACTTGTCTTTTTTCCTGGTACTTTTTGAGGCTGTAAGAAAGGTTTCTAGCAGAGTTTGTGTTTATCATATGTTCAGGTCATACCGGCATTCGAGGAAGCTATTACTGGGATTGCACTTGGAGGTATCAGAAGGTGATATAACTCCCCTCTATTTAACTTTAGTTTACCATTAATGTTTCCTTAAGAAAATTATTGAAAAAATGGACTTTTGAGCATCAAGTTTTGCTAAATTGTGACTTATTTCTGCCTTTGTAATACAAAGGGTGTTAAAATATCCACCTTTCCTCCCTTAAAACTATGGTATCACTGTTGGAATTAGACATAGATTATCGAACTGATAGCTCATCTTGAATGATTCTATATTCTCGTAAATATGGGCTCGACTTGAATATAGTTACCTGATGAGCATAAGTGCTTCAAAGTATGGTAGTTGAGTCTTCACAGGTGATGTTGATCTCTTATCTATATGGTCAATGTGGTCTCCCGTTGTATGCTAGATTTAATTATAGTTAACTGAGATAGTATTCCTAATTTAGGGGCATTTCGGATTAGCTAATATTTTCCTATCCATGTGAGTTTTTTAGGTACCTTAAATGAGTAGATCTCCCAGGATATAAAAGGAGTTAATTGTTGAACTACCTATCAAAGTCTTTGAATCTAGTTTCCAATGTAACAAAAGAAGGATAACATTCTTAAATGTCTGTGTAGCCTCCCAATCATAAGTGTGGCGTGTTACATACCCATAAGTAGGACTCTACTAGATACCACTTCATAGACATCCAAGGACACATGAACCTAGTTGGGATGCGACAACAATGTCGCATTTCATTGTCATTTCTACTACATGGCTTTTGTATTACTGTTTTTGCACCGAGGAAGATATCGTGTATTCTCCATTTCATTTTCTCCTTGCAATATCGCAGAATCATAGTTCCTCCGGAGCTGGGATACCCCGATTATGACTATGATAAGAAAGGTCCAAGACCAACAACATTTTCGGTAACTTCAATTCCTTGTAAAACAGTGTTCTATGGCGCGCAGATCCTTTTTTTCTCATCAAAAGTTCCTTCCTTATATTTTCCAGGGACAAAGAGCTTTGAGTTTTGTGCTGAGGAACCAAGGATTGATTGATAAGACACTCCTGTTTGATATTGAACTTCTCAAAATCATACCAAATTGAAGTTCCTTTTTGCTCAGTTTTCGCCATGACAAGATTAACTTCCAGTAGGATGAAAGGAGTATCAAGACTGATCATTCCTTATAGAGGTTTAAGATCAAACACATCAAATTGTTGAAAGATTGATTTTGAAAAGCACTGTAGTAACAATGATGGGGTGTAAGGTATTGTTGATGTAACAACATCCCTTGTGTTCATAGATATTTGACTGTTTCTTGTGAAAGTGATCCTTCAAGATATCTTCTTCTCTGGTTTGTGAATAAGATAGTTGATTACTGTACTTTGGAGAGGGGTTTTCGAAATTTTATTATTGCAAGAGCACATGATTACTTACTAGTTAGTAAGTGTAGATGAAATTTGAATTGGTTTGAGTAGTTTGATGAAATGACGATAGTTGAGCAACTTTTTTTTTTGTTACAGAACAAAGAAAAGTGAGTTTATGAGATAGTTACTTTTGGTGAAATGACAATATATAGTTGTCAGGAAACAAAAAAAAAGCGAGTTTATGAGATAAATTACTTTTGGTGAAATGACAATATATAGTTGTCAGAAAACAAAGAAAAGTGAGTTTATGAGATAATTACTTTTGGTGAAATGACAATATATAGTTGTCACAAAACAAAGAAAAGTGAGTTTATGAGATAATTGAAAAGTGACTTTCTGAAATAATTATCATATTGAGTGAGAAATGAAAGATGCACACAAACTCTGTTATAATGTCCTAAAGTTTTGTAGGAAGCAATAGTGTGATGAAGTTATAAACTGAACTTCAAAATGCATTTTACTGTTTACTTTTTCCTTTTTCCTTTTTCCAGGTAGCATACATAGATTATACATTTGGGCCTTTAACACTGGGTTGAAAGCCCAATAACCCAATTGAAAGATGAAGCAGGAAACTACCAACTATATTATTTGGCAGAAACAACAGCATTAAATAAGTTTGACAAATTGCTTACTTACATTTTTTGGCTTCTTTTATGGTTCCAAAATAAATGATCCATGTGTTGGTTGGGGGCTTCATGGATCCCCTCATTTAATTTTCAATCCTCCTTTTTATTCTTCTCAATTTAAGTCATCTAGTCAAACTCTTTTTTCCACACTCTAAGAGCTTATTGGTCATGTAGGTAATTGAGTATAAATGACAAAGGTAATTACACTATCCAATTATTAGGAGGGGTTGACTAATTCAACTGATTACTTTTTAATTTCTTTTTTATTTTTTCATCTGGTATTCAATATCCGTATTGGAATCTGACTATTCTGATTTGTGCTATGTGGAGCCCATTCGGAGGAAAACGCTTCTTGTCAATGATTTTTTCATATCAGGAATCGAATCCAAAATCTCTAGTTAAGGGGGAATAATATCATCCAATACATCATATCCTTTGGTGGTGACGCTTATACATACTAACAAAGATATGTTGTGTATTCACATAATGACATACTTATATTAAACTAGTTACAAAAATTTTGTGTTGTGCACGGATCCAATATTTGTTTATAAATTTATTTTTTAAGTGGTGTTAATTAAACAATATTAAATCATCTTATTAAGTATAAAATAAATAATGATAAATATTATTAATATTGATAAGTTTTAAATGACACTGATTAAATGATTTTAAAATTTTGTCCTAAAATAAATGATGATATATATATTTGTGTGTTAGTAAATCATCTCATTCTTTTTTCACGCAAAACTAATTTGAAGAGGCTCATTGGGATGTCCATAATTAAAGTGTTTTTCTTACCGTTGATTTTTTATTCAATGTAGTTATAAAATTTACACAAATATTATCATCGACATTCAAAATACTATAGCTATAACAAAACGATATAAATTTAAAGCTAAAAGATACAACTAAAGCGGGTCCAATAATTTCGAAAAAACTAAACACTAATTAAACTAAAATAAAATAAGAATATACCTTTTTAAATATTTTCAAAAATACCCGTGCTAAAGCATATACGTTGACGAAAACATGTCTGCTTCAGCCTCAAACTTCTCCCTTATCTAATAAGAGAAAAATATTTTCAAAAATATCATTGCTGAAGGAAGCACATCAACGAAGACGTGCTTGCTTTACTCTTATATAATAAGAGAATGTATTTTTATAGGACTTGCATTTATAATGCTAATATAATAGTAATAGTTAGTAGTGTAGTAGAAAGTAGCAAGTGCTGACTCATAAATCCTTCAAAAATAGGCTCAATAAATGAATTGATTGAGAAGTACATTTACTTCCTATCTACCTAACAAACTGGCAATATCTGTCATGAAAAAGATGACTTAACATTTTTTTGGTTTTATTTACTACTATATACATCACTACTATTTGGACTTTTAAAAGTCATCACAAAACTTTTTGTTGTTAATCAAAATTCCAAGGTATGTTACTTAAAATGCTATTTTGGTGTTGTTTTTTTTCCATGATCATAAAAATGTTCAAATATTCTTATGAAGTTATAATCTTTTTATCTTATGGTAATTCAAGTATGTTGAGTGTTAAAAATTTTCTTGTATATGACACTATTTATTTGAGTTGTCAAAGTCATTCTTGAATTTTTCTATAACAACAGACTATGGCTCAATTCCAAGACTGTGAGTCTAGAAGTTTCTGATCAGATGAAAATGAGGCAAGTGGTAACATGTTTTACATTAGGTCTTAAGGCGGATCTAAGGCAGGTTCTGTGATTTTGGTGAACTCATTGCTTTCAGCTCGAACTATGTAGATATGTACAAGAAAACTTTGAAATGTTTATGTAGAATAAGATCACATTATTTCGTTGTCATTACTCTTCTTTCCTCTATATGTATGTTGTGTACTGCTCTCCATATCACATTATTTCATTGTTGTTACTGCTCTCATTTCTGTTTTCCCTTATTCAAACTGCTCGGAAATGCTTTATTTTAAGCCGAGGGTCTATTGGAGACAACCTCTATATCTCTACGAGGTAGGTGTAAGGTCTGCATACACTGTACCCTCCTCCGACTCTGCTTGTGAGATTACACTGGGTATCTTGTTGTTGACTCTAGATCCTGAATTCGTTTTTGTATAATTTGGACTCTAGGCAATGAAGGAAATATAGGTAGGATGTTATTCTACCTAAGTCTTTCCAAATCTTGACATTATAATCCTTACCATAGTATTATGTGTGTACATTCAGAGACGGATCTTGGACCGTCCTATGATTTAACTGAACTCGTTACTTTCAGCTCTAACTATATACAGTAAAACTTTGAAATGTTTATATAAAACAAAATCACACTCGTTCTGAACTCACAGACACTAGGCAATGGAGGAAAGCTTGTAGGATGTTAAAGTCACACTCGTTCTGAACTCATCGACTCTAGATACATTAGACTCTAGGCAATGGAGGAAATCTTGTAGGATGTTATTCAACTAATTCTTTCGAAATCTTGGCATAAGTCTTACAAGCTTTCTCTTTTTCAGTTTCAGTGTTGGTGTATATGAAGTGTGTGTGATAAAGAAAGAAGGCAGAGGAGGGAGCTTGTAGAGTTGAAAGGATGGGAAGTAAAGAAAGGGAAATCAAATCACCTGAAGTTCAGTTAGGAGGGAATTCTACTCCAAAACGGGGTTCAAAGAAACTCGGAATCTACTTCCTTGAATCGGATGATAGGAGAACAGCTTTCGGACGTGGTTATAGTGGTGGAGTAGGAGGAGCTACTCCTGTGAATATCCATGGGAAGCCTATTCCGGATATAAACAAGACGGGTGGCTGGATAGCTGCCTTGTTCATTTTCGGAAATGAAATGGCTGAGAGAATGGCTTACTTTGGCCTATCTGTTAACATGGTGGCGTTCATGTTCTACGTTATGCACAGGCCTTTTTCTAGCTCTGCCAATGCTGTTAACAATTTTTTGGGCATATCACAGGCTTCCTCTGTGTTGGGTGGTTTCGTTGCTGACGCTTACCTTGGTAGATACTGGACTATTGCGATCTTTACCACCATTTATCTAGTGGTAATTAAATTCGATGAATAATTTGCTTGTCTAATGTTTGATCACTTCATTCAAGTGAAGATCATACTTCTCCGTTTCAATTTGTTTGTCCTACTTTCCTTTTTAGTCCGTTTAAAAAAGAATGTCTCTTTCCTTTTCGGCAACTTTCTTATTCTAACTTTCCAGATGACATGTTTAAGATCACTAGACTAAAGGGTGTATTTTGGTAAATTCTACGTATTTTGGTTTAAGACCACAAGATTCAAAAGTCTTCTTTACTTCTTAAACTCAGTGTCAAGTTAAAACCAGACAAACAAATTGAAACGGAGGGATTAAAAGCTAGTAACAGTTACTTACTTCTTTATGGTTATGTAGGGATTAACAGGAATAACATTATTAGCAACTATTAAGGTATTTGTGCCCAATCAAGATCAGTGTGATCAGATTGCCCTTCTTCTAGGCAACTGCGAACCAGCGAAATCTTGGCAAATGATGTACTTATACACAGTGTTATATGTGACGGGGTTCGGAGCAGCAGGGATAAGGCCTTGTGTCTCATCATTCGGGGCTGATCAATTCGATGAGAGAAGCAGAAACTACAGGTCACACCTGGACAGGTTTTTCAACTTTTTTTACCTGTCGGTCACAGTTGGGGCGATTGTGGCCTTCACTGCAGTTGTGTATATTCAAATGAAACATGGATGGGGTGCTGCTTTTGGGTCACTGGCAATTGCCATGGGCCTGTCCAACATGTTATTCTTTGCTGGCACCCCTATGTATAGGCATAGGTTGCCTGGAGGCAGTCCTCTCACGCGTGTTGCCCAAGTCCTAGTTGCTGCCTTCCGCAAGAGGAATGTTTTGTTTCAAAGCAGCGAGTTAGTAGGCTTGTATGAACTTCCTGGTAAAAGATCTGCTATCAAGGGCAGCAACAAGATACCTCATACCGATGATTTCAGGTAAATTTCCAAGGTTGCTCCTTTTTTTCACTCTCCATGTTGTTGAATTGTGTGACGGTCACATTTAAAAGCTTAAGCTGTTAGGTAAAACGTACTTTTGTTTACTTAATTATGTCTTCACTATATGTATGCTCAATGTAGATGTTTGGACAAAGCAGCTCTGCAGCTAAAAGATGATGACGGTGCCAATCCTTGGAGGCTTTGCACTGTGACTCAAGTAGAAGAAGTTAAAATCCTGCTGAAACTTCTTCCGATTCCAGCCTGCACTATAATGTTAAGTGTGGTTCTAACGGAGTATTTGACTCTATCAGTCCAAC